AAAAACCCCTCAAAAAAAAAAAAAAAAAAAAAGAAATTCACACCAGGTATGCATGCATGTGTTCCCAAAATCCTGAGAGGGGAATGGAGGAGAAGGGATTGAGGAGTGGCCATTTCCCTTGGGGGTCGATTTCTTGCTTTCTGTCTTTCTGTTTCTGTCTGTCTCTCCAGTTGAGTACATGTGCCCTATAGCAAAAATCTTTCTAAAAAAAAGTAATTTGTTTTATCTTTTTAAAAAACATTTTATTTCATGAGCGAGAAGGAGAGAGAAGCACCCACAGTGGGGGCTTGTCCTGTGTGAGCCTCCTTCCCTAGTTCTCCAGATTCTCAAGATGCTGGGTGCCATCATGCATGCCCAGTGTGTTCTCAGGCCACCCAGGGGATCCAAACCCATGGCCACCCAATGGCTTCCAGCCTCACAGGGCACTTGTGTTACTACTGCGATAGCAGCTGCGCTGAGACACGTGCAGGGTCTCCCCATGCCATGATCCTCCTGGCCCAGCCAGCAGTGCGGGTGCACTACCTTGCTTGCTCCGGAAACCGGGCCTCCTATGTGGCCCTAACCTTGTGCAGTGGCACCCTACCACTGTGCCACCATAACTGGGCCTCACTTGTTATATGTTAGTCTTATTTAGCGCCTTAAAATAACCCTTTTTCTTAGCTATAAATGTTGTACATTTACTGTTAAAATTTTGGAAATAAATCTAATGAAAAGAAAACTCACTTTGATCCTCCCATTCAAATGAATTGCAGTCGGCCCTCTGTATCCATGGGTTCCACAGTCACAGATTCAACCAGCCATGGATTGGAAGTATTTGGAAAAAAATAGGCTGTGTCTGTACTGCACCTGTATAGACTTTTCTCTTGTGTTATTCTCTAGACAAGACAGTATAACAGCTATTTACATAGCATCTACATTGTATTAGGTATTAGGAGTAATCTAGAGATAATTTAAAGTATCCAGGAGGATGGGAATAGATTATGTGCAAAAACTAGGCCATTTCCTATATGGGACTTGAACATGGACAGATTTTGTTATCTGAGAGGGTTCTGGAGCCAGTCTCCCATGAATACTGAGGGAT